AAAAATCCAAAATTGTAAGATCCGGTGATCGTGGTGGCCAGTTATGTGGACCATATTTACCTGTCCATTGGCCGCGAAATATGCGGTTCAGTTGTTGACGGGCAATGACAGACGTGTGGGCTGGACATCCATCCTGTTGAAACCACATATTTAGACGTAGTTGAAGTGGAATATCTTCAAGTAAACGTGGGAGTTCGTTTTCGAGTAAATCGACATACAGAAAACGGTTTAGATTTTCTTCAAAGAAAAATGGTCCGACGATATGCGTATCAACAATTCTGCACCAAACATTGACTTTCCAGATACGTTGATGATCGATTTCTCGATACCAATGTGGATTCTCTTGCGCCCAATAACGGAGATTATGTGTGTTCACTTCGCCGTCACTTTTGAAGGTGCACTCATCAGAAAACAAGATACTTCTATGGAAAATAGGTAATTGTTGAGTAATCCAATTACAGAATATCAGTCTTTGTCTATGATCGTCCAATGTCATGGCCTGGTGAAGTGACATTCGATATGGATGAAATGAATTTTCTCGCAAAATTCTACTGATAGTGCTTCTACTTATTCCACTATCTCTTTCTCGTCTTCTTAAAGAATCGGTAGGATTTACAAGAACAGACAGGCAAGACGTGGCCTGTTACGACAAATGGTTCTCTTTCTGCGAAGACTCAGACATGCTACCAGATAGATCGGGTGCCGAATGTCAAACAACCGACACCTCAAAAAGTCGACAGTCAAAAAACCGTTGTACGTAGGTAGGTAGGTACTTAGGTACTTCACTATTCGGGGATTGTTATTCATTTATAGGTACTAATGTCTTACTCAAACGAAGAAGCTGCGTTAATGTTGTCGGTTTTGGGTAGGGCTGAAAGTTTTCGGGAAGCTGAAAGAATGTGGCGAAATGAATATTCCGATCGTACACCGCATTCGCGCAATGTTTTCATTGGTTTACAACGGCGGATAATTCAAAAAGGTATCGTCCAACCGGATTATAATAAAAGAATGCAAATTCATCGTCCGCTTCGTGCAGTACAGGCACCTGATATAATTGCTTCTGCTCTTGTAAATCCTACCGATTCTTTAAGAAGACGAGAAAGAGATAGTGGAATAAGTAGAAGCACTATCAGTAGAATTTTGCGAGAAAATTCATTTCATCCATATCGAATGTCACTTCACCAGGCCATGACATTGGACGATCATAGACAAAGACTGATATTCTGTAATTGGATTACTCAACAATTACCTATTTTCCATAGAAGTATCTTGTTTTCTGATGAGTGCACCTTCAAAAGTGACGGCGAAGTGAACACACATAATCTCCGTTATTGGGCGCAAGAGAATCCACATTGGTATCGAGAAATCGATCATCAACGTATCTGGAAAGTCAATGTTTGGTGCAGAATTGTTGATACGCATATCGTCGGACCATTTTTCTTTGAAGAAAATCTAAACCGTTTTCTGTATGTCGATTTACTCGAAAACGAACTCCCACGTTTACTTGAAGATATTCCACTTCAACTACGTCTAAATATGTGGTTTCAACAGGATGGATGTCCAGCCCACACGTCTGTCATTGCCCGTCAACAACTGAACCGCATATTTCGCGGCCAATGGACAGGTAAATATGGTCCACATAACTGGCCACCACGATCACCGGATCTTACAATTTTGGATTTTTATTTGTGGGGAAGAATAAAAGACCTCGTATACCGCGAACGACCTACGACTTCAGAAGACATGAAGAACAGAATTCGAGAAGCCATTCAGTCTCTAGATCCTGTCGAAATTCGTCGGGCGACGGATGATTTTCAACGAAGAATAACAGCCTGCATACATGCACGTGGAGGACACTTCGAAAATCTAGATTGAACACATGCGTACGAACAAAGGTGACGGCAAGGGGAACCACTTTAAAAAAGCACCCCTACGAGATACAGGTGACGGCAAGGGGAACCACCTTAAAAAAGCACCCCTACGAGATACAGGTGACTCCAAGGGGAACCACCTTAAAAAAGCACCCCTACGAGATACAGGTGACGGCAAGGGGAACCACCTTAAAAAAGCACCCCGACGAGGTATAAGTCCGACCTTGTGACCTCCACGTGGTACATCTTGGGTAAAGCTGACACAGGCGGCATCGACTGTTCAAGATCTTGATAATTAGGAATCTTTAAAAATCGATGTACACGACTACAAATGAATCTAAAGGTAGAATTCAAATTCACCAGCAGATGGATGCATCATAGCTATGTAAATACCTAGTATTGTTTGAACTATTTTTTGTACAAACACATCCATATCTTTTAGAAGGGTGGATCGGGTGCTCTAAAAGTAACTTGACCTCCACATGACCTCTAAGGGTAATTTTGACCTAGACTTGATAACGTATTCGGACGTAAAATTTTCCGCTCTTTTCATTTCTGAAGTCATGAATAAGGGTTTACATTTGTAAAACGGTACTTTGACCTTGAGTTATGCCCAAGGTCGACCTCAAGGTCAAATTCAAGGTCACCATCAGATAGATCTCCCGAAATCCTGCAAATTTTGTCTGAACCATTTTTTTGTACAAACACATCCCTGCCTTTTAAAAGGGTGGTACGGGTGGTCTGAGACGCCCTGTATATATAAAATTCACATTTGAATTATTTAATAATTTAAGATGTAGCTTCGACCGGCATTAGGCCTAATTCATATTATTATTATTATTATTATTGAGTTACGTCTTATGATTACTGTTACAGAAATTTTGTCTGCGGTAGCCCTAACGCTGACGCTGCCAGACTGGTCAGACAGTATGGGGAGCTCGCGAGACGATTTTGTCCCACCGGTCTCTTGTGCGCGTCAACTACGTCACGAGCCTTTAGGGCGCGTTCACACCTTGACGGAAAAGTAAAAAGCGGAAAAGCAGTGACCAATCACAACTCGCGCTGGTAGTAAGTAATACAAAAAGCCGAAATTGTCCACTACCAGTGCGAATTCTGATTGACTGCTACTTTTCCGCTTTCTGCTTTTCCATCAAGATGTGAAAGCGCTCTTACAGGCTCGTGCTGAAATGCAATATAAGATAGTCGTATAGGACGACATAGATTTTTTTATATTATTATTCTTTTTATATTTATTATTACATTAAAAATGTTATTGTAATATTCATTTGATGAGTAATATCGCTTTTATCTTACGTACATTATGAAAACAATGTCAATAATTAAATTTTTACTACAAAAAATTGTATTTTATTATTTAATTGTACACATATCCTTATACCATATAATAACTTCAACAAATTTAATTCTATTTGTTAATTAACATATTTATTCCTCATAGCTATACTATATATCATTTTCTACCTTAACGATTCCGGAAAAGTCTTTGTACCACTTCTGCGGAACAAGTTTAGAAACGAGAGGATGCAGGAAGAGAGAAGACAAATGGTGACGAAAATGAGGAAATGGAAGTTCGAGAACAAAGATGGCTTTTCTGATACAGTATTTTTTGCTAGAAGGAACATTGACGCGGAAATAGAGACGGATAGTAACGATCCCGAAGATAGCGTGATGTAAACGCGAATGTTCTCGAGAATGTCGCCGAAAATATTCTTATAAAACACATATGCGATCAAAGTAGATCGCAATGATAATAGACCGTAATAATAACCGATGTAGACTGTATCGAAGTAAACCGCAATTCAAATAGCTCGTAATGATAACCGATATATGATTTGTTCTATCGAACACTAGATCGCATAGAAAAGTCATCTAATTAGTTTTGTAACACATTGTTTCTTTACATATGCTATACATATGCTTTACATATGTTACTTTATATTTTTTCTGTTATAATAATTGTTGAAAATTTTACAAAAAAAATTCTTGAAAACATTTTAGATATTCATATAATGTGATAAATGTTAAATCGATGTTGAATTACACAAAAAGTACGATTTGCTGAAATATTTAAAAAAGCTAGATACAGGCCTAAAAATAATTTTGTTGGACCGTCAAAGTAATTATATAGAATGCTCAAACATAATAAGCAGTTTCTTGAATAGCAAAAGTTTTGATGTTCAAGCAATCATCTTGGACGGCCTACATTTTGATGATCTAATAAAACTTGGGGCTCTATTCTTGAAAAGAAACATATACGAAAAACTAGGAAAATACTATAGTATACGTAACGTATACTGTAATATTTCCCTAGACTTTTGTATACGTTTCTTTTCAAAAATAGACCCCTTGGTGTTTGTGGATAAGTATACGGTAAATTTAACGACTAGATTATATTGGATACTAAGTCATGTAGGGTCCGATTTCTTATATGTATAACAAATTTCTCAATTAATTAATTCTCATACCAGATTCAAAATTAGCAATAATGACATTTGAAATAAAAAATCATAATTCCTTGAATTGTAAAATTACACATTTATTTATATATTTACATACATGTATGTACTGTTTTTACTATGTTTTAATTCGCATATGGGACAATAAAGTGAACTTTAACTGTGCCAAAATTGAGCTATTAATTAAAATATCGTTTATAAATTAGTCACTACTGTTATCGTATCACGCTTTAAAATCATATATAGGTATGGTTGACATTATCCTGATCTGTAGTAATCTCATGTAAATGATGCCAGGTGTAATCTCGTGCTATTTCCGACACAAAGAGCGACATAATCACATGAGTATACTTCACGTCTTTATAATAAAGCAAATTGGATAAAGAGTTCGATTTACGAGTTGGAATTGCATTACGGTAGATAGAAACGCGATATACGTATCGAGCGGTGCTCTTCATCATGTCGCTATTATTCATCGTATCGCAACAGAATCTGATATCGCGTGCTTACATCGAGCGAGAAACCTCGTTAAGTGCATAAACGCATGAAAATAGAGTATTAACGTCATTAAACTGAACATTACAGCCTTAGCAACGTTCATTGTTAAACATTTTGTTATTTTAACTTCTATGTGTGTCGAAAATGTAAATCAATTCATTTCTGTGTTTATTTTCAAAGTAAACAACGTCCATATTGATATATGCACTTAGTAAATAATAAATTTTTGAGTCAAATTTTTAATATAATTCTTAATTAAATTGTTTAATTCTACTGTTTTAGTTAAATTAACGACATATTGAGTAAGAGTAGTAGCGTCTATAGAAAATGATTAAAAATAATTCAATTCGAATATAATTTGACGTTATGGATTTAACAGTGTAAAATAGTATAATAGAAACTTTACACAGGATGTATCTAAAATAACGTACACTAATCATACAGTGCTATTCCTAATAAAAAACTGAGAATTATTATGAAAATTGCAAAATGGTAAAGGACTTTTCGACTCAGTTTTTTATTAAGAATAGTACTGTATGATTAGTGTACATTATTTCAGATACACCCTGTATAGTATATGCGGTAGCAAAAATTTTAATGGCTACGTTTACACCGTACGACTGATAGCGACCTGATCTATATCGTGACCCAAAGTAGGTCTAGTCACCAACCGTTTACACCGAAAGGGACTTAAAAATTGGTAGGGTCACATTTAGTCCACGCTGGTCCGAATTAGAGCCATCTATCGTATTTTGTACAGATTATTTCCATATACAGTATTGTACTCGCCAGAACGTATACATAGCGCTATATTGAGTCGGGATGACAGATATCTTAACCTCTAAAATCTCGAACTTTAATGCTTAATATCTCGGTTCGCGAGACCGACCGCCGCATTTTTATCAGATTCTTTCATTTTAAGTGAAAATGCGTTGAATAAGCCCAATTTCATCAAAATCGGAGATAAGGCCCGGATTCTAAATAATTATCATTATTTGTATTATTTTGATTAGCAAAGGCATTGGTACTTATGAACTTGAATCGCTGCATGAACTTTTTTCCATCTTTTTTTTTAATATTTATGTTCTTTGCACAAATCAATTAGTCTTTTCACAGTCTAGAAGTAAATAACAAACCGGTTTAACCTAACTATTCAACAAAACAGCAGTGTCCTACCGAGCAAATAGCTATGAAGCTTTTAGATCGTGTCAGTCGCGCGTTTACACCGAGAAAGTAGACGACCTATTTTAGATAAGAGCGCTAAAAAATCCGGCCTGACAACAGGTCGGGTCAGGTGTAGTAGTGGCTACGTTTACACCGTGCGCTTAGTCCGCGACCTATACGATAGATGTCTTTGTTTAACCTACAGGATAAATAAGGACATCTATTGTATAGGTCGCGGCCTAAATGCACGGTGTAAACGTAGTCAGTGTTTACAGCGTGCGGCCTAAATAATGTAACCTAAATTAGGTCGAATTTGGTGTATAGGCCGCGGACTAAACGTACGGTGTAAACGTAGCCATTGACGCTATCATCCTATTTTCATGCATTTACTCGTTTGTTTTTCTTCGTTAAATTTTTTATTTGTTAAATTTGAGCGCTACCACTTGAGAGGTTGTGTACTAGAAACACACAGCAGTATTTATTGATCGCAAATACAGAAAGAAAGACTCATTTAACAGCATCAAGAGCACCGATTGCATGGAAAAGTGGATGGTCCCATCGTTAGTTTCAAATGATCTCGTATCACGGAGCATCGCGCGCGCGATCGATGATCTAGACTATTCTAGACTGGCTACGTTTACACCGTGCATTTAGGCCGCGGCCTATACAATACGTGTCCTTGTTTATCCTGTAAGTTAAACAAAGACATCTATCGTATAGGTCGCGGACTAGGTGCACAGTGTAAACGTAGCCAACGTGAATGTATAGGAAATTTCATTGAAAACCAGAGAGAACAACCGATCCGAACCCGAATATCCGTGATATGTGAAAACTCCGCGCGATCCAATATACTGTTACACACGCTCCCCCCCACACACACACACACACACACACACACACACACACACACACAAAACGTACAACACATGAGGACAGTACAATTACTCGACTATAAAGCGTATAGAAGAAGCTCAAACTTCTCTTTACTCGTTGATTGAACGCGACGCGTCTACTATGGCAATTGCAATAGCTCTCCCATGAATTTAACTTTGCGCTACTCGTCGTCATTTTGTATTTTCAAAAGTCGATAAAACTTAAGATGAATGTTATTGAGACAAGCATTTGAATCGATATGTAAATTAGTGATTATTATTTATATACAAGGAATTTTTTTTAAATATAAATGTTTGCTTATTTTTCTATCATACAAAACAAGCGAAATTAAAGAAACAATGAATTGCTTTCTGTTAAGATAAGAAATTTTTTTTTTTAATTTAAAAAATATGAAAAATAATCATATTGATATTCTCTTTTCAAATTTTTGTTCTTCATAAGTGTGAAAATTAATCTAAGATTATATTAGATAAATCAATTTTATTAAATTTTAATAAACTTTACAATACATTATTACGATTACTTAGAGCATTACATCAAAATAGTATAAATTCTTCGCATTTTTCCGATGTTAGATATGTTTTTATAAAATGTACCCATCGAATTAAAAATTGATGACAAGTCAGTTATTCTAAGAAAAGAATATATATTTAAACGTTCTTAATGATCACGTTACTATCTTTGTCCTGACCGTTAATGTGCAATGTAAAGCTTGCACTTTATGGACGGACATCGTGGCAACTTCCATCGTAAGCCAGCTCTTTGTATTTTTAAAAGTTTGAGCTCGGTCAGGATCGTCTACAAATTAGGTATTATTAGGATTTACGCCGGAAAGTTATATCGGCCTCGAGCGTCATGCTCGCCGACGACGTCATTGCCGTGTACACGTGCACCTTCTAAATGTGGGAAACATGAAAAGCTCATCTCGCTGACTATTACGACAACGATTAATGACTTCTCAAAGAAGAATTAGAATTTTCGTAATAAAATTACCATCGAATCACACAAGCGTAATCGATGTAAACGAATAATTTTCATTACTTCCTATGTACTCATTTTAATGTAACATAATATTTGTCCAAAATATTGAATTTAAAAATTATATTTTAAATTATATTTTAAAATATAAAAAAGATTCAATATTAAAAAAGAATGAAATTAAGAAAAAAAAGTTAAGAAGATTGGAAGCAGACCGTTATACGTTTGGTTTTACGAGCTCTCTTTTGACGAATGTGTTATTTCGACTATTTCTTCATCGTTAGAAGAAATACTGGGGCGGATCGAACGATAGCGCTCCGCTTTTATCGGGAAGGCTGCTGAAGTTTTCGTTCGTAAGACTGAATACGGAATGACTCATCCCTTCGTGCGGTTTTACATCCCGTCCTAATTCAAACCACGTAAAGGAGAGCTTCGTTTTCACGTCACGGTGCAAACTATGCTCCGCTGCCGCACGTTCGTCATTGGCTCCTCCATTACGTTTATCTCGCGAGTGCATTTTGACGGAACCGATTGATGACGCCCGCGGAGTGCGTTGTCACATTTCTTGTCGCGTTGCGAAAAATATGGATTTGCCGAGATATATACGTGACGCCGAAAAACGACGTAATTTAAAAACTTGAATGATAGCTGGAAAGTGTTTTTTTGAATTCCTCAGTGTCTGTCATAATTTTAGCAATTATGAAATCGAATGTGTATCAATTAAAAATGTCTCTAGCGTGTGTTCTTAAAAATAATCAGTGTACTATACATAATTATTTTGATAGTCTCACAAAATTATTTTCAGATCTTCATATACATATATTTAGCTAAATTTTTAGATACTTTTAGAATACTTTAGCAAAACCGTTCTTCCTTTGTAGTTTCAGAAAATAGAACTAACATATAAGATAGAATTAATCATAATAAAATACGATAAAAGTATAAAATTAAAAATACAAATTAAAATCATAAAATATCAATCAAATAAAGATTTACGTAGGTTGTTCACATATATTCCTCATGTAAAACATTTCGTATATGCTACCATACAGTATTTTGCTACTATATATGTAGAAAAACTGTAATTCAAAAAAATTAAATACATATAACATGTTTTTTATTCGTGCAAATGTGAAAACAATTTCAAATTACTCGACAAAAGTGTGTAACAAACGAGAGTATAGTGGTTGCGTATACATTTATCTAAGAAAGTTTTTCTTATTTTTTGAAAAAGCTAAATTACTAAAGTAAAAACTAACTTACACGTAAACCAGCATGGGATACTTGGTGGCACCACTCATATCAGCACCGGGTGGTATTAGGAGTCTCACCTGGGCGTTAAAGCCACCAGGAACTGGGACTTCGTATCTATGAACAATCGGCTGCGATCTTTCCACTATTATATCACTTACCACACTGTTGTCCTCCCACACGGAGAGCAACGTGGTATTCTGAAAGCAGAAAATAAAGAAAATGAATTTAATATTATTTTAATATTAATATACAGGGTAGTGTTCGAAAAAATTAATACAAAAGAGTATCGATACTGAATCGGTATTTGGGGAAAAAAAATCGATATTAGATCAGGCTCTGTATCGATATCTATCGATACCTTCGCAAAACTTCTGGTTTTATTTACAATTCCCTTAAAATAGATTTACATTAAAAAAATGTATTTATTTTTATCACAAGGTACATATTTTTGTATGGGCAGTTTTACCTTTTAATATCAATAAATTACAAAAGTAAAAGATTTTTTAAATAAAATTTAAAAACAAACAGAAATCAGTTAACCTGCTTATCTGATAATATCACATGAAAGGCACAAATAACATTTTAAAACTATTTTACTAGTTCTATCTACCAGTCTTTATAAATCACATAAAATATATCGCGGAGTCTACTTACAATAGAAGTCGTAGCGGTCGTAGAGTCTTAAGTCGTAGAAAATTAATCAATCACAGTCGAATATGAGAAGAATAATCAACTTTGATTGATCAATTTTCTACGAATTAAGACCCTACGACCGCTACGACTTCTATTGTAGACCCCGCATATGTCTATTTTAAAGGAGATAAGAGATATAATATATGCCTATTTTAAAGAAAATAACATATGCCATCTCTTAAGCAATATCGATACTCCGAACGATCTCGCAAAGCGGATCGATATGTACTTATCAGAGATATATCGATTCCGGATCGATATTCGTATCGATTTTTTCGAACACTAATATAAGGTGAGTAAAAAGTCCCGGACCGGGACTTGTAAAATCGGAAGGCTCGAAAACTAAGCATTTCCGAAAGAAATATTTCCTACAAAAGTTATAGGATTTTAAATGATCTATTTCTTGATCTGATCAGTCTGACATTGGGTGGCGTCGCCAAGATCAGGTCAAGGTCACGTTGATTTTTTTAAACGGAACACTATTTTTTATTCCAGAATTTAATAGCCGATATCGAGAACTTTCCAAAACACTATAATAAAATTATTTTTCATTGAATACTTTTCGAATTATAAGGCTTGAAAGTTACAGTACCGCCGGCATTAGTATTACGCAAGGCAGCCGATCGACTAAAACCTTTTGAATGTTGTTCAAGATCATGTCCTGGATAACATTTGTCAAGATCAAAGCCATTGAAGGTTGTACCTCTTATTTTCCTTTTTGCATTAAAAAAAAATGAAAATAGGAACAATTGCCAATGGCCTTGATTTTAACAAATGTTATCCATATCATGATCAACGTCCTGAACAACATTTAAGAGATTTTTGCCATTGGACACTTTGCGTAATGCTAATGCCGACGGTACTGTAACTTTCGAGCCTAATAACTCGAAAAGTACTCAATGAAAAATAATTTAATTATAGTGTTTTGGAAAGCACTCGACATCGGCTATTAGATTCTGGAATCAAAAATATAATGCTCCATTTAAAAAAAATCGATGTGACAACCTGATCTTGGCGACGCCACCCAATGTCAGACTGACTAAATCTGTTAATAGATCATTTAAAACACTACAGCTTTTGTAGGAAACATTTCTTTCGGAAATGCTTAGTTTTCGAGATATTTCACCGGTCTGGGACTTTTTATTTACCCTGTATAGCTAATATATTATTTTAAAATTATTTTTAATTTAGATAAGGTAATTGGGGGGGGAGACGCCACACTTAAGCCTTTATTCTTGAATAACTTCTTAATGTTATTGAATTAAGTTACGAAAAAATATTATTAAAATTCTAGAGACCTTTCTTTATTTACATAAATTTATAAATTTAACGTTTAATATTCCGTATTATTGGAAAAAATTGATATATCATACCTTGCAAAAGTGACATCTTCCCCCTATAACTGTGGATAAGATGTCACCTCTTATAGGAGAAGATATTACAAACAATTAAAGAATGCGATGCAATATAAACTTGCATATTTTACTTATTTACAGTCCATAATGAAGAATTTAAGCTATAAAAACACATAAAGGTATGATAAAACATAAATTGAGGAAATATGAAAGAGAGTAATTTAGGAAGTAAGTCGGACATATTTTTATTCGTTTAAACAGCATTTCATTAACTTAAAATATTTCGATTATATAAAGCATCCAAAATTTTAATTCATAAAATCATTTTAATGACTGTTTCAAGTAGGAAAAATTGTTTTTTGTATTTACTGTAATTTTATCCTCAATGTAAGAGGAATATTCAATTGCAATATTTACGCATATAAGAATATTACAAATTATAATCTATATCATCCACATGACCACCAGGGAATACTGATTGAAACCGTATATTATTTGTCCGGTTTTACGTAAGCATCGACATACAGACCTTAGCTATTAACATACAAAATATTACAAAGAGCATGTTTCACGATCTACCTTTTCGAATAATCTTTTCCAATCGACATTGGCATGAACATGTTCATTTAAGCTGATAACTGCACAACTGTTTGCCACACGTTTTTGCACAGCCAGTATAGTCAACGCACGTTCTATAAAAAAATTATAAATAAAATGGCGTCTTCCTTTTATGGCATCTTCCCTCGAATTACCTTAATTATTTTGTTTAATATCATGACCTAAGATTTTAATAAAAAGGTTATATTTTAATGGTTAGGATATTTTAACAATTGTTGTGAAATAATAATTTCACAAGAAATGTGAAATTGTGAGAGCTCACACTTAAAGTTAAAAGAATATTAATCAGCGCCAGATGAATACAAGCTGTAATATGTAACGAATTAAATGGATATTAATCTTATTTCATGTGTACATTAACTGGTCATTCATCAATTATGATATTCATCTGGCATCGTAACAGCGACACTACCTATCTTCTTAATGCAATTTTTCTTCCATCTTCATACGCTTTGGACGCTATAGATCGCTGATCATTTGTTGATTTTGACATCGCCATAATCGCGATAAGTTACACACTAAAGACAGTGAATAACATCGTCAACATACTTGGAGACACTCCTGCAAACTTGCGGTGGAAGTCATAAGATCAGACGAACGTTTAGCGGTTTGCCTTCTCCAAAGTAGTTCGTAACTTCAATCGCACCCTCCGCGTAGTTTGCCGGTTGAAATTGATTCGGTTCGAAGGGCAGCTACTTTCCCGAGTAGTTGTCCGGGATAGTTTTTTCTCTTCGATGGGGGGTAGGAATAGAAGTTCGCGGTATATCGCGATGAAAAATTGCATTAGAAAAGTCGAATAGGCTAATGCTCGCGAAAGGGCGTCGCCACGATTTGCTCTCTGAAATACCCGGTCGGTGTTTTTGCGATCGAGTTTACCCGCGAGTTCCGCGTCCGCCAACTCTCTCCTAGGAATCGAGGCAAATGTAACGCGCAATCGGTGCAATCTGCGTTGCTTTTGTGTGTCGAACACTCGACGAGTTCGCCATTACATCGACCCGATGGCGAATCTCGATTTTGCATCGCCGCGAACTTTTTCTCGGACTCTTGCGTTCTGGCTCTCCACGTTACCGAAGTTTCTTCATCGAATGACAAGCGATCTGACAAGATTTCTGGCTTTTGTGGGAATCTCGTACTGATCGCGATATGACGAGGCGATATCGATTTTCGATCAAGAGATGAATATATACATACATTTTTTCCTGCACCAGATATGGCAGATATACAGAGTGTCCGATAAGTTTTGACAAAGCGCTCGTGTGCAGATAGAACGGACTAAACTGAGTCGAATAAAGTCCTCTACCATTTTGCTATTTTCGCAATAGTAAACGAAATATCAATTTCTAAAGATTGTCGGATAAGCGGGTAAAATCGACGCATAAAACAATTTTAAGATTTCTTTCAGAGTTTTTTATGGAATATTTTAAATATGTTTCTTAAAGAACTTTTAAAAGTATCTTAAAGTTGTTTCATGCGTCGATTTTAGACATTCTGTTTATTGGGTAACAAAAAAATTGTAAAAATTGCAAAATGGTAGAGAATTTTTCGACTCTGTTTAGTCCGTTCTGTCTACACACACCCTATATATATATATATATATATATATATACATATATGTATATATATACAGAGTGAGTCACTTATGATCGGCCACCCGAATAACATTCACGATTTTAGAGATAGGAAAAAATGTTTCAGATGAAAGTGGAACGGTTTCAAGGGTATTTTAGTTATATTATTTTTCTTCCAGGTGGAGGCGTCAAAAAGATATGAAGGTCATCTCCATTTTTTTAAACGAAATTGTATAATATTTTTATGTAATATGATTCCTCTAATTATTCTGCATATAAAAGTATTAAGGTAGAGATATTTAAGAAACAATAGTTTATGAAATATTTCATACTTCATTCTGGCATATATTGACATAAAATGTTAAATAACTCGTAAACTATTAATTTTTTAATAATCTTATTTTAATATTTTTATGAATAGAATAATGAGAAGAATTGGTGGAAACAAAATACATAATTGCTTTAAAAATATACAGGGTGACCCATTTTAAACTATCACCCCAAATATTTTCGTTCCCTTGCATTTTACAAGAAAATGTTTCAGTCAAAAGTTGTATGGTTTCAAGCCATAAAATGGTACCATTGGTTTGATCTTGGATAGTCGCTTAAAGGTCACATGAAAGTCACTTTCAATTTCTTAAATTAAAAACCCACTATTTTTCATTACATATTCTTGTAGCTTATCTTGAGGGCTTTCCAAAACACTACGAGGGGCACTACTTATATTTTGAGCCTTGGCAACACTGAATGTTGTCAGGTGCCATTTGACGTTTCCACTAGAAAGTTTGACATTTTTTACCATAACCTTCTTCAGAACGTTTTGTTATTTGAGCGCGATTTGTATTGTTTACAGTCACTTGAAAATTGTGTCTGAGCGAAAAAATGGAATTAACTCGTGAAAATTTTCGTGCAATGATTTATTACGACTTTCGATTATCAAGACAGGAGTGCATCGATCAACTA